TCAAGAGGGGAAAACCTTGAATTTTGTAGAACTTAAAAAGTCATTTAAAAGACATTTCCGAAGTCAGGAAAGCTTATTTCCCGCATTCTAGAAATCGAAATTTTCCCGGGGGAACCCGGACCCCTTTTTCTTTGGGGTTCATTGATTCATTGAATCAATTTCAAGAGGGGGAAAACCTGGAATTTTGAAGAAGTTAAAAGTAATTAAAAGACACCTCAGAAGTCGGGAAAGCTCATTTCCCGCCTTCTGGAATCAAAATTTTCCCGGGGGAGAACCTCCGGACACCCTCTCTTTTTTAGGATTTATTAAAAAAAATTGTATGCAACTACTCAATATTTTTTTTTATGTATGTATACACACATAAGGCCTATTTACTGTAATAACAAGTGGAACAATTTACCTGACCGTTTTAAAGAGAGGAAACCTTGAATTTTGAAGAACTTAAAAGTAATTAAGACACCTCAGAAGCCGGAAAAGCTCCGCATTTCCCGACATTTAGGAATAAACATTTTCCCGGGGGTGAACCCCTGGACCCCCTTTTCTCTGAAGCTTATCGATTCATTGAAAACAAAAACGTATGCAACTACTAATTTTTTATTATGTATGTAACACACATAACCGGCCAATTTACTGTAACAAGAATGAGAAAGTTTACCTGACCGTTTTCAAGAGGGGAAAACTTTGAATTTTGAAGAACAAAGTCATTAGACACCTACCTAAAAGATACTTCAGAAGTCGGGAAAGCTCATTTCCCATCATTTAATCAACATTTTCCCTGGAAGAACCCGAACCTCCCTTTTCTCTTTGGGTTCATTGATTCATTATAATAATTTTCAAGAGGGGAAAATCCTGAATTTTGAAGAACTTAAAAGTAATTAAAAGACACATCAGAAGTTGGAAAAGCTCATTTCCCGCCTTCAGGAATCAAAAGGATATCCTTTCGCATATGGAGGGTCTATGTACTACCTCCGACTATGGAGGAAAAAAATAAATGTTTTTTCCTCCATGCTCAGACCCACCATAGTTGGGGCTGAGGGAAGAAAATTCATAATTATGGTAACCTTAGAAGCAGGAAATGGCACTCTTGGACTCTAAAATTTGAGTGGAATTTTCTTTTTTTCTCATTTTTTTTAATTTGGAAAAAAATGTTGGGGGGGGGGGGGTAGGCCGGGCCGGCTTCCCCTCCTACTTGTTCATTTTAGCCGTTATCGGCCCACTGCAGGGCGAAGGCCTCCCCAAGCTGACACCATCCACGTCGTCTGCCCTGTGCAACACTTACCCAGGAAATACAGGCAAAACACATGATCTCATACATCCAACCATGGAGGTATAAAATACGTACCTCCATGCTCCAACTGAATTTATGTCTTCCTCGACCTCGTGTGCCTATTCTGGGAGTCAATTCAGTTGTTAACTTCGTCATCTGTTGTCATTTGTTCTGGCGAGGTGTTCTGCCCTTCTTCATTTCCAATAATACTAATAATAATAATAATAATAATAATAATAATAATAATAATAATAATAAATAATAATAGTAATAATAATAATAATAATAATAATAATAATAATAATAATAATCATTTATATACTATAATAATAATAATAATAATAATAATAATAATAATAATAATAATAATAATAATCATTGATATACTGACTATTACATAATGCTTGCGCGCATGTGTAATATTCAAGATTCAAATTCAGTCATTTATCCTTAATGACGATATTTAGTGCCCACATCATTTAACGGACAAATTTAAAAAATTAAAAATTAAAAAAAAAAAAAAAAAAAAAATTAAATTTAAAATGTTGAAAGATCTTAAAATACGTTAAAAGTTAGAATGTAGAATGACTTAACAATAAATGTCTAACTCAGAATCTCAAGACAAAGTACATTTCGAAAATAAAAAATAATTATCAGCCTATAATAAAAAATGATATTTGTGCGAGAGCCCACAGGATGCTTGTCAATCCACCTGAATGATTTTCGTCCTCACCTCAAAATACATTTTTCTCGTTCTTCTTCCTCTCTATCTCTGACGTTCAATGTCTTCTTCACCTAGGTCCATAATTTCTTCTTCTAACCTGGGGCATTCGGGATATACAAGTATAGGATGCCTTTTTTATTTTTTAAATCATCCTATGTATTCCATTCGCCAAACGTAGATGGAGTGATGAACTTGCAACGTCATCATAAGTCTAAATCAGTTGAAAAAATATTACTGGTAAACTTTTCCTTAAATTAAGGATAGGCCTATCCGTACTTGATCCATCGGGGTTTCCCTTCCCCGGAGACTCTACTATTTACCACGGTGATAACAATAAAATAAGCGGCAAAGTGTAGTTTACCAAGACACGATGAACGGGTCCGTCCCGCCCGACGGCGTCAGAGGCCCACCCGGGCCCCGGGTCTGCACTGCAGTTCTCTGACGGGATCCCAGGGACACTGTCATGGATACTGAGTGGCGGCCTAGGGTAAATTGCAGGGTATGCTAGGTATTGGAATAGGATGTGAGAGGGGCGCTCACGCCCCCCCCCCCCCCCCCCCCCCCCACAAAAAAAAAGAAATACTCGCCCATCCCCAGTCGCATCTCCGCCCACAAATCATGCTCAAGTAGTTACAAATCACCTCAAATTACCTCATTTTGCGATTTATCCCCATTACCTATTCACCGATCCCCCACTTCTTCCACCCCCCCCCCCCCATCAGCTCCTTTCCATTTCAAGACCCTACGTCATGCTAGGACCTGCTAGTAAGAAAAGTTTGTAAGCTTACTACTAGCAATACAAAATCAGATTGTGTTCTATATTCAAAATACAAATGTATGTTATTTTTAATAATGGCATGGTTGTAGGATTTTCTCTTCAAAAGAATTTCTATTCTTGTTTTTGAACAAATTTCAATTAAAATAATGGTAATTCAAAATTTCTTCTATACCGGTCATATTTATGCAAATTTATTTAAACTTTAACTTTTGAGATGAGGCCTATAAATAGGTTGTGGAGGTCATGGTTTGTGAAGAGAAGAGCACGCGTACTCCTAATATTCTCACAATAATAATTAAATTTAAAAGTAAAGACCAGCTGATAAAATAATGCTGCAATGCAGACTCTTAAATATCTAAGGACAACCACTAAACCAAGTTACATGACAATCAATAGGCTGTTTATATAACAAAAATATTAGCATAATGTTTTCATAGTTTAAATTCTTGATATTTTAGAATTTCCGCTTCTCCATAGATGGATTTATTTCAAATAAATTTATTGAAACAGTGTGTCACCCATTTTATTTTCACAAATTCATAAGTAGGCCTGATCCCGTGCTGCACGTAAAATTGAGGTTCCACTTTCGAAAAAGGACAACTGTTATTTGATACTTAGCGAAAGCATTTTACAAACAAATTAATATGCAACGGGTTTTCGTTTTTGTTTAGGAACGGTAAAGGTAAAGGTAGGAGAATAACCCATAGGTAACTGCTATCGGTTTTCCCCCATTTGTATTACTTACCAATAGCCTATGTTAATTTACCATTTTCATGTTTTATTGTTTTTATGCTTCGTATTGCCAGTGTATAGAAGAATTTATATTTATTCAGAAAACAAATAGAATGTAGTACAAAAACTAACGTCGTCCCGTCGTCGAGCGCTCAGTGTTCAACGACGCAGCTACGACAAATAATTAAACATTAAAATATAAATAAATGTTCACAAATATCCGTATTTGAAGGTCTAACTTTGCAACATTAAACTAAATGTACGGACCTAAGCATTTTTTTTTATATATCTGAAGATAATAATATGGCTATAAACCGAGATATCGGTTTGTTAGGCCTATCTCCACTCTTTATCCAAATAATATTTTATTTGAATCATAAAACTAAGCTTACATTTTCTGGAAATTTCACTGCAATCTTCATCCATTACAGCATAGGCTTATAATGTAATCATGAATGCATCAATAAAGGTATTGGGAATAGTACAGGCCACTTACGGTATTATAAATCTACATGGAATTTCCCATAATAATGAATTTAGCTATTGGCGTGTCATACTTTGGGAATTTCCAGAGTAGATATTTATACACTTCCACAGACGCTAGGCTATATGTACTTATAAAGGAGTTAAATCTTGCCACTTTACAATTTTAAACGCCCAAGCAACATCCGGGTCAGGCATTTAGTAAGTACAAAAATCGTCAGAAACATATTGAAATAAATAAAAATGACTGAAAGTTGTGATAATCGAGGCAACACCAAGGGTTGTGCAGGCCCAACCGGGAAAAAGACGACAAAGGATATCGGCCTCTATTATCATCGAGGTAGGACTAACAGCAGGCCTAGCAACAGTACGTTCGAAAGTTTACTCGACGGGGACTCAGTGCAGAAAATACAAGCAGAAATTTTATCCCTTAAAAGCTCCGTTCAAGCAATTAACATACTGAAAATGTTGCTGAAAGACCACGAAAGTGTAATTAAGTCTTTAGAGCAGGAGCTAAAAGAAAACAAGATTTGCATTGAACATTTACAATCCAGGTTACACAGAAATAAACTCGATTCGTCTGTGAACCTCAAAGAACATGAAGTGTTTGTGCCTGGGCACGACAAAGAGGTTTTGAACGAATTGTTGAAAGAAAATATACGTTTGCGAACAATTCTTAATGCAAACTACAGTTCTGAAGAGGTAGGCCTAAGTTGTTTTTTTTTTTAAATATTTATAAATCGTTTGCTCGTAGTAGCCTGTATATTATAATGATGAACTATTGTAATACTTGTCTAGGCCTAGCTTAGGCTCTAAAAAATAGCCACGTTGAAGCAAGGAGGTATAATAATATATTGTTATACCTCCTTGGTTGAAGCTAACCAAGCTTAATGAAGCCCAAGGCCTAGGCTAGGATTTAGATTGTGAAATAACCTAATAATAATATGTGTGTACAGTATTTTTAAAATATATTTTTGGAAAAAAAAAATATTTGATTGTCATTCCCATTTCTCCTCTATTTACAAGCTAATTAAAAAGTCAACCACTGTTTGTGTGCTCTAACTCTGGCATACTGTACAATACTATTTATTAATACTATCAACTAGCCCCCAATTGGCTACCAGTTGGGCAACAAATTCACTAAATATAACAGTTATTTATTCAATTTTCTGTGGCATCTGATCTCTTCGAATATAATATTGCGCTATGGTATATCATAATTTCTCCACTTCTCCAACAAATGTAACTTCGTGGCAAACAAAACTTATAAAAGAGTTAGTGCGTCAAATGTACCTTTCATTTTTGCTGAGGGAGCTATTATGTATAATGTTCTTTTTGGGTATTTTATTATGTGAACCTCATTGACACCATAGCCATATACTGTACTGTATGAATTAAATTTAGTGATCAGTGCTACTGCCTGGTATACAAAATTTCCATATATGGTACAATTTAATTTATAGCAGCTTACAGCTTAATTTTCTTCAAAGCAGATATTTGGCTGAGTATCAAATAACAATTTTACACATATATTTGGCAAAAATTATTCACCATGAATGTACTTCCTTGATTTTATTATTATGTACCTTATCCGACCAATGAGGTGCAAAGCATGTGTATTGCATTGCTTCACTTGACATACTGTTGAGATTAAATTCCCTCTAAGAGAACTGGTTAGAACCGGTTGTCACGGAAATTCCCTCACTATTTTTAATACAGTCACTGTAAAGTATAAGTCTATCTGTAACGGCTTGTTAAAGAGGCACTGTGGCGGTTTCAATACAAAAGACTTCAATACAATAATGGAACATTCCTGAAGTAGAGTGAATGTGAATGGTTCAAAAGGTTAAATCATATAATTGTGTCATACAAAGGTCACTTAATAAGAAAAGGTCACTTAGTAAAATATTACACTGCCTTTAGATACTTATAACTGCCGTATGTAAACAAAATTTTCTACACAGTTTAAAGTTGGAATATATAGATGCTGGTACAGTATAAACCATAATGAGCTGATCAATATTCAATGCATAAAATACATTGCCTGTTACTGTGTGTACTACTTTAGGCCTACTCAGTGCTTTTTCAATGATTGTTAATCTGATAATAATTGTAAATTACTGTTTGCAGTATTTATAACCCAGAAATGTTTAGTATAATGTGTTTCAGAAGAAGTAATTCCTTTAAAGTGTCAAATTTAAGCAGTATGTCATATACTGTATTTGAGGTCAAATAAGGTCAACTTGAAACTGTAACCAGTCAAAAAATATATTTTGTTTTCAACTTTTTATTATTTATAGTTCATATAACAAGTAATATTATGTTATTTTAAAGACAGTAATAATTATATATATATATATTTTTTTTTTTTATTAGGTTGCAGAAGCAAAGAAAACAATTAGTGAACTAAGGTCAAAGGTTAGTGAATTGTCTAAAGAACTGAATTTAAAAGAGACAGATTTCAATGACTATCTGAAAGCTATGAAATCTTCTGACTCTGAAAAGGATGTTATGATTAGTAAGTTAAAATCTGAGTTAATCCAGTACTACAAACAACGTAGCTATGATGATGATGTCCGTTTCACATTGAGCGGGGAGGTTGCCCAGATGAGGTTAAAGATTGAGATATTGGTGACACAGATGGGTAACATGGCTAAAGAATTAAAAGATTATGAAAAAATAGAAAAGGAAATTGCTAAAGAAAAGAGGTTGATGGAGAAAGAGAGTAATGATTCTGGTCTGAGTTTGGAGGATCAGTGCAAGAGCCTGAAGGAACAGACATCAAGTTTATCTAGAGAAAACACCGAATTAGCTAAACAATTAAAAGACGTAATTAGTATGAATACCAGATGGCAAAAATATTCTGACCAACGTGAAGCACATGTTATAAAATTAACAGGAGAAAATCAAGTAGTAATATCACAAAATAAAGTCTTGGAAAGTGACTGTCAAGAATTGCGGCAAAAACTTCAGGAATCTCAGAAATGTTTAAAACAGAAGGAAAAAGAGCAAAAAGAAAGTGTTGATGCTGCTGTGTTAAGCTTGGAAGCAGATTTAGGTAGAGCTAATGAACACAATGCAAATCTTCAAAAGCAGATTGCAACACTTCAGAACGAGAGTAAACAGCGACGGGTGTCATCTCAAGATTCTGAACGCATTATGCTTTTGGAGCACCAAGTAAAGATGCTAACAGAGGACTTCAATTTAGAAAGGAAAGACCGCACTAATCTTCAAGAACGTCATCAAAAACTAATAGAAAAGAACGATCAACTTACTGAAATCATTGTTGGACTCCAACAAAAAGATTTAAGTAGTAAACAACAACAATATCAACAACAATATCGACAACAGTATCAACAACACTATCAACGAATACAGCCTCGATTTGACCCAATGGTCATGCAAAGCAGGTGTGGTTATGACAACACATTTGCAAATCAGAAACATAATTTTCCTGATGAGGTAGAGGTAGATGGACTAGGAGGTCAAGATTTCGCTGATTTCGATGTAACTGATGATAGTGGTTTAAGTAGTAGGAAAAATGATAGTCCAGTAAATAGGTTTGATTTAGGCCAACAGGCCGCTCGAAATGATGGCACCAACGATGGGGATAATGCTGATGCTAATAGTTTGGAGGAAGAACAGCTGTTGAGATGCCCCCGGTGTTTCCGAGGGTTTAAGATTTTGGATCATGCCTTGTTAGTTGATCATGTCACAACCTGTGACGGACAGGATGATGATCTAGAAATTGGTTGAATTTGAAGTACTCAAAACAATTAAATTAATATTTTGCAAATACAGTATTCAGTAGCAATATAATGGTGCTATAATAATCAACAGTTAAATAATAACAAAAGAAAATATCAATACTAGACAAAATTTACAATTCAATAAAGTGTTTAAAGAAAGATGCTATTATGCATGTATTCAATAATTCATGGTGGTGCTACAATAATTAACAGTTAAATAAACAGAAGAAAATATATCAATACCAGAAAAAAATTTTCAATTCTATAAAAAGTCTTCAAAGAAAGAAGGAGATTGTGTTATCAAACTTGTATTATTTTGACTACTGTATTTATTTTTTGGCCAGTATTTGACCTATTCAGTACTTCATTTAAATTGGTGCTTCCTTAGTCACAGGGTATAACTATTGTATTCACTAGCAAGTGCAATGTTCCTTTCAGTATTAAAAAATGAACGCTGCTTTGAACTAACTTGAAAAGTTATGGTTTAAATTCTTCCGTCCAACCCGCAACAGTATTATGCAAATCGATGGTGCTTTAGTTAACTTTTATACTTTATTATATTGAATACTTCAACTTAAAATACTTTAACTTATGCAATATATAAAGTGATATAATTGTATTACATTATTTAAACATTATTAAACGGAGAAAGTAACAGTTTTGTCTTAATACTTTGATGTTAGTTTTTCATGGATAACATTTTAAGGACTTTATATGTGGGCCTATACAATTTTGGCTTCAAATTTCCTACTGGAAAAAAGGAACGTTCTGTTTCAATTTAATATTTAGAAAATATCGAAAAAGTTAAATGCTATTGCTTTTAAGGTTTAAAGTGTTTCCTTTATTGTTAATGATTTGAATTATGTAATGATTTCATTAGTTTACTGTTTTTTCAACATTTAAAAAGATAATAAAATTAAATATTTTGAAGTATAGGTCTATATGATTTTGACTTAAAATGCCCTAAGCCATGTTATGTTGTATTTTTAAACTTTACTAGAAATGTTTAATTTCTATTTTGCGAAAGAAGTTATTGTTAATGCAAGTTTGCATGATTAATTTAAAAGCATATCTGTATATATTGGAGAAGTAAATATGTTTGCTTGTTAAATTTTACTTTGGTTTTCATAATACAGTTTACATATAAAAGAAATTATTTTTGTAATTAATGCACACTCATTTCTTGAAGTGGTGTAGAAAAAATATTATTAAAAATAATAAAAATAAATTATTTAACTTGATACAATCTCGTTATTTCATTGATTATTCATGTTAAGAATAGAAAAAGTCAGTCGAGAGCTGTAGAAAGTTGGTTTTATTTGCTAGACCAAGGTCTAGTTTAGCTAAAACAAATGCTATCCCTTATATATCAGCTATTGAATATTGGTCTAGTTTTAATGTATCTTTTTGATAGCCTAGCCCTAAAATACTCAAGTCCCGGACCCAGGACGAACAACTTTTTACAGCCCTGCAGTTACAGTATAAACACAAAACAATAATAATATTATATTCATTTATTTCCTCAAATACAGTGGAGCAAAGCCATGGTGGAACAAGGTTCCTACACAAGATTTGGCAGTCCCAACATCAAAGAAAATAACAGATGACAAAAGCGTCTAGTCACACGCAACATAGAGACCCATATTACATTTTACAAAACGATACATTGAGAACAGAATAATCAAGAGATGAAAAAAATTGCATTTAAATATTATTTATGGCTGTTGTGTGAACAAATGAAGTATTGGAGAGAAAGAGTGGGAGATAATGCTCTGAATTGATAATCAGTTTCCTTACACCAATTTCAACACCCCCATCCCCGAAACATTTAGTCATACAGTACATAATTTATTAAATTGTCTATAGGCTTACACTTACTACAGGCGTAACATTATCAAGTCTACGATGCTCAGATATATAATGTTAAATATTCTTTCACTACAATTTCTAAATGATATTTTCCTTTTGTCGTTCCAACAAAAAGAAAAAAAAAACAAACCAACAACTGACGATGACTCTTTCAAAAGAGAATGAAGAAGATGCATGGTTGCGGGATCACTTGTGCTTGGCGCCAGGTCCGACTATTACATTTATTGTTTGAGAGGTGTTCTGTTTTGGGAGAGAATATCCAATTAGTTTATCTTTGTAAGTATCCACTCATGGACTACCAACATCTCCATTGATTAGTCTAATTTATAGGCATAACGTTACCAAGTATACGATGATCAGGTTATAATGTAGAATATTCAGGAATTAAAAAAAAAATTGAATATGCATTATTAAACATTGATTTAAAAAAAAAAACCAAGAAAACATGATAATAAAATATTAATGATTATGTTATAATGATTCCCTACTTTGAACCGAGAGACGGGGTCAGGTACAAACTCTTTAACATCTGGAACGCTGTTTTATGGTCACATGTACCAAGTGCATGTGTCACAGAGTGACACGACAGCAACAATTTACGAACGGTTGGCTGAAGAAGACAGAAGTGTCTGTTAACAAATTCCACAGTAAGTGAAAATTATTATGTTGAAATAAAAGCTTAACCTTTTCTAAAATGATTGATATGTATAGTTTGATTAAAATAATAAATATATTGCACTGTACTGTCTCCAAAGTGGGAATTTATTTCAAATAAACATGCAGTAGGCCTTGTCCAAAACATTGTACTGTGCCGTACAAGATTAAACATTGAACAGATATAAACTTATTGACTATATATAACTAATATCATTTTTCCGTCTTATGACGAAATTTGCATATTTAACTAATTTTAATATTGTAGCTTTATTTTCAGATGACATCAACATAACAAAATCATTAGGATAGAAATAAAAATTTGAAATAAAACGGGTTTTTTTTAATTCGTTATAATAGGTACAATATAATCGAAATGAAATTCGTCTTATATTTGGTTTAACGAAAATAATTTACAAATTCTTTATCTCTTGGCTTTGCTTTTCATAACTACTACTACTACTACTACTATTATTATTATTATTATTGTTATTATTATTGTTTGAAGGTTTGCATGGCGAAGTACAGTAATAACATATATACAGTTGTTGAAGCTGGCGGTACACCACGTAGGTAGTTCTGAAAAGTTGAGAAAGTCTCAACTTTTCAGAAATACCTACGTGGTAGTTAGTTCTGAAAGGTTGAGAAAGTCTCGACGTTTCGATTGAGATGCTTCAATCGTCTTCAGGAAAATAATATCTGATGTTATTATTACAATTTATAATATTATTCTCCTGAAGACGAAGCATTTCAATCGAAACTTCGAGAGTTTCTCAACACAACAGTTCTTTTCAGAACTACATACGTATATTATTATTATTACTTTATTATTATTATTATTATTATTATTATTATTATTATTATTATTTATTTATTTATTTTTCTTTTTATTATCTATTTGTAAAATCATCATCATAGAAAAGATAAGTTGTACATGATACATAAAAAAGTGTAATTCTTGATGAAGTCATAATTTCATAAATTTCTGATTTTGGCTGAAGGCATAACCAATAACTCGCAGCGTCATTGTGCTGAATTGATGGGCGTGGTCCGGTAACTAGCCGCCTTAAAAAAGCGCTTTCTCATGTTCATATATAATACAATACAATACAAAAAACTTTATTTCTGGCATGTCTTTGGAATAATTTGCAAAAAAATGGAGGAAACTAAAGTAGAAAACTTATGAGGTGCTTCCCCCAGGACATTTAAAAAATATTAATCGCATTTTCCTTAAGACACAAGGCTAAAAACGAAAAGAAAAAAAGTAAATACATATACCATAAAGGAACGGATTTTAGTTAGTTGATGAAATTAAGAGAAAATCTTTTCTTTTTTAATATTTTCTTTTTAATTGAGAAAGGCATTGAGAAAGGTACATGTTTTAAGATTATTGTCAAGCGAATTCCAAAGTTTAACTCCAACTGTTGAGATACATTGCAATTTTTTGTGGTTCTTACTGTATTTAGCTTAAATACATTTCTTTGTCTTGGTACTATTAACTGTCTGGGGATACGAATGTAAAGAATTTCTGCAAAGTAATGGCAATAAAGTATGATGCGCTTTAAACATAAAAATAACAGTTTTCATTTCAATTATTTGTTCAAGTTTCAATAAGTTCAATTTAGTGAACAGGGGATCAGTATGATCTAAAAAACAAGCTTTAGTCCTACTTATAATTCTAATTATTCTTTTTTGTTTTAAAACTAAAGGAACTAAATTTGTTTTATAAGTATTCCCCCATACTTCGGTAAAATAATTTAAATAAGGGAGAAATAAGGAGCAATATAAGGTATGTCCGATTATTCAAACTTTGATTGGCTTTATAGATTATTGCTATACATTTAGATAATTTCTTGGATACATTTAAAATATGCTCTTTCCAGTTCAATTTGTGATCAATTATAACTCCAAGGAGCTTAGTTACATACACTCTTTCAATGTTTCTATTGTTTATACTAATGGTATCATTCAAATTTTTAAAAATCATTTCCACATTATCGGATAACACGTAAAGCAACTTCAGAAATTAATGTATTTTTGTCTTCGCCACTCTGATAACTAAATGTCACCACATCCAATATGACATAATACATGATATGAACCCGCCATATTTCATTTCTTTCAGTTTATTGTATATATAAATGATAATGGAGAAATTATTAGACATAATATAGATAATTATAATAGGACGATATTAAAATAGTTTATAAAGAAACTATGATAATATTGATTATTATATAATAATGATGATAATATGGATGATAAAAGTAAAATGATATTCAAGTTAATAAAAATACGATGATAATATAGATGAATAGTAAAATAATAAATATGATTATAATGATGATATGATAATAAGATGATATTACTTATTGATTTTTAATGATATATGGGGCGTTGTTGTTGCTGTTGCTGCTGATGATGATGATGATGCTGATTATGATGATGATGGTGAAGTTGGTGATAGTGATAATTATAATGATAATAAGGCGGATGAAACTAATAATGATATAATATAGGGGATAATCATGACAATGGTGATCATCAAGAAAATATGATAATGATATACAGTAAGGTGATGTTAATAATTTCAACTTTATTTCATACTTTCAATCCAAAATAGAAAAAATATATTCTTAAAGAAATGTCTTGCATGTAGAACCAAAAATGTTACGATAGCATGAATATCACTATCATCCACACCCCCAGATATGAAACCATATTGTAGTACTTAATTTTCGTATTACTATACCTCATCGTGTTAAGGTTTTACTATACCTCTCATGTTAAGTACCGTAGATGATATCTTTCCTCAGGTCTGCATAATGCATGACGCGTCTGCATAATGTATGACGCGTCTGCATAATGTATGACGCGTCTGCATAATGTATGACGCACGGAGCAATAAGCTAAATACCACATCGTGACAGCCAAGAGTTGAATTAACATATTTTTACACACTGACATCTGATAAAAATGTGTAATAGATATGAAATATTCTGCAAATATGATGATGATGATAATATAAATGATAATTATATAGGTAATTATTACTGTAACAATTAAAATTGAAATAGACGACATTGTACAGTGAATGATATAATATAGGTCGAATGTTACAGTATTGCGATGGTAGGATATAATATGTATGTAAATTATGATATTAACATATTGTTATTCTTAATTTGTTTAGCCAACTGGCACTGCAAAAATGTTGGTAATTGATGATTTAAATGAAATACACCATGACGCTGACGAAGATCCAGTGGGATCGAAAGGCTTCGTCCAAAAATGGAAATATCGTGAGTTTATTTACATTACACATATTAAAATGATGATTATAAGATCATGATAACAATAATGTAGATGATAATACTATAGTGGAGATGACAAATAGATGCCGCACTTTACCGTATACCAACCGTACCGTAGCATGTAGATGAAGATAAATGGATGATGAGTGTGTAAAATACAGAAATTTGTACTGCAACTTTTCCTATGGATATATGGCGCGGCGGCAGATGATCGTACTGCAATACACGATGGTGATGATGATCTTGATGATAATGAAGATGATGATAATAATAGTAATAATAATAATAATAATAATAATAATAATAATAACATGTATGTAATTTGACGTACTGTGGAGTGTATACCTGGATACAATACTAGAATGATGATTCTAATATGACGAGAACTTTTGTTAACACATT